GACAAATTTATAAAGTATATATTAAGAAATTAAAATAAATTTAAATAATAATAATAAAATAAGTAAAAGAGTGTCTACCCACTTAACTTAAAGAAAGGCTTAACAAATATTTAAAAAATAATAATCATAAATATAGACTTAATTTTAGGCATAAGCAAACTTGGGAACTGAAGACTACTTAGATATTTTTCCAATTATCAATGAAGAAATGAAGTTATAAATAAAGCTACTGAAAGTAGTTACTACACAGCTTATGCCCATCTCATGGGCAGCCAAAGTCGTCACACAGAGCATCTGTCAGTCAGTCATGCTCTCGCTCTCTCTCCCTGCCGAACTTTGATCCATTTTCAAGTTTTATCTGAGCTGGCCAAGGCCAACAGCTAAGACGCCATCAAGGCCACAGGAGAGAAGTAACAAGTTGTGACTTGCTGGCAGAAAGCGAACTCCTGCTGACTAGTGTACACTTATTATGGCTACAATTAGCGCCCAATTCTCGTCGTCGGGGCACGTGTCAATCGTATGCCAAAGCTTTTTGCCCAAAGCCGCTTAAATGCAGCTCTGCCTCTGCCGCTGCTGATATTACATTCGCCAAGTAAACCAAAGCGGAGGCAAGTAAACTTTTTAATTGAAACAATTTGTAAAAAGCAACCAAAAGACTACAACAACAATGGGAGAGGCAACAACAATAAGAGCAGCAGACAGCGTAACAAAGTTTGAGCTGCTTTTAATCATGGCCAGCGGCTAGAAAACTGCCTAAGAATAAGCTATGTCTGTCTACACTGAGCGAAAACATGGCATTAGCCCTACAGCGATAGAAGGCAACAAAAGCAAAAAATAGAGAGAGAAGCATATCTTTAGAAATATAAATAAACTAAAAATTTGTCTAGCTGAAAATGAAAATTTCTATTTTAAATTGATTTTCTTTGAGAAATGTTTTCTAAGATAAAAATGTTTTAAATTAAATACAAAATTATTTTATTTATTTTTATTTATATTTTTATAAGCCAATAAATATTTTAAAATTTCTTTTACTGGTATAGTAGATAATTCGAATATGCCTGAAGGAAAACAAATTGAAACTTATGAAGGAAAATTTTGATTTCAGAATTGAATTCAGTAGAAAATGAAATATTTGTGAATTAAAAATAAATAAAATATAATAAAATCAAATATAACTTATTAAAATATTTTACGTGAATTCAAACTCTAATCTGCTACTTACAAGCACTGTCAGACAGTTTCTTTCAGTGCACTTGGTGCCCGTCTTTAGTCTGTTTGTTTTTTTGGTCGGTTTGCGTGATTCCTTTATTGAATTATTCGGCTGCTTTAACACGATATCGATGGCGTGTACCGTTAACGTATTGATACAGCACACACACACATATTTTAATTTATATATATATAGTATATAGAGACAAGGAAGTCGCATAAATTTGCGGTATTTGGCAAATCATTATTCGAATCAGCGTCGCACGCGCCGCGTCGCACAATTGGATTTGGCTCGGCGTCGGGCGCAAAACAAATCAAAAATCTATTAAGTGCCCCTTAACACCCCTCAACATGCCCCTGCTCAGTTTGCTCAGCTCAGCTTTCCCGTCCTCTTTATGGCGCACCCCTCCTCAAACACTCCGGCGGATTTCTTGTGGTCACGTGTCACACGAATTGCACTGATATCGCGCTTCCTTGTTGACACTGTCCACAGCATAGAGTAGGGGGGAGTGAGAGGGAGAGAGCGAGAGGTGGTGGGGCGGCTGTGGCTAAGGGTTGCTTTGGGGTTTGCCCCAGCGATGCCTTCATTAGAGTGCAGCGAGGCCAACCCCAACCCCCAATTCTGCAAATCGTCAGTCGAAAGCGAAAGTGATGACCCTTATGCCTATGTAGGGCTTTAGAGGGTTGTTTGAGCACTTTTAGAATACCCTGTAAGCACCACATGTGAAGTATATTGATATATTTGTTGCCGTTACATTATTATAACTCTATTATAGCATTAGTATTTAGTTATTGCTTTAGTCTTCACTCTCCAGTTTAACTTTAAACCATTCACAATTTTCTTAAAGACATCGAAATCGATTTGTATCGATATGTTGGCCTGGCATTTTAGAGAACTGACTGAGAGCTTCTAGTATTTCTAGCATTTTTATTACGAATTGTGAGCTATTAGTAAGCTCTGCGCAATCGATAAATATCGGTTCTGCTTGTTTTAAGCATACCAAAAAAGATTTTCAGATTAAAGCTTCTTAATTTAATATATAAGCTACTTAATGCTACCTAATGCATATCCAATAAAGCAAAGCTTGGAATAATCAATTTGTTACGATCGATAAATATCGAATATAGAATATATAAAAGATGTGTTTGCAATGCAGATGTGCCCGCTCTTACCTTCCATATAAATGAACTTGTACACCTAAGTTCGTCAATTTTTCAAAATTTTAATTTTTTAATAAATCGATAAATATCGATAATTACGTATTTCAAGTATATAAGGTCTATTGTGATACAAAGAACACAAGTATATCATGTCTATGATACTCTAATATCAGCTTTGATATTTTACTAAGCTACGCTTGATTTTTTCCATCTGAACAGATTTCCAGGTCTCCTCGATTAATATCCACAGAAATATGCGAGGTTGATTTGAGGGAAAGAGACACAACAGCTGGGCAAATACTTAAAGTAATTTTGTTGAATTTTGCACGTTTCGAGGATAGCTCCCAGTTGGGCACAGGCTATGACTTTTTCTTTGTTTTTGACATTCGCAAGTGGCATTAATTGAAATGCCAAACAGGGGCTGTTAACCCCCTTATGGTGCGCCCGCCCCCGACAGTGGCTCGTCAAGGGGGCAACGATGCATGAGATATGTGAAAATAAAAACGAAGAAAACATTTTGGACTTGGCGAGTTGGCAGATGATTCGCGTAGCACCAACTGCTACATGCCTCCTGCCAGCGCCTAAGCCCACCTGCTGCCACCTGGCACAGCGGAGCGACCCTTGCAGCAAAAGCCACAAACAAAAGGAAAAGCAAAGCAAAAGAAATGAGCGGCAAATGCAATAAAAACCAAAACCCGCATAATTTAACACAAGTGCTACAAGTGTGTAGAGGTGTGCGTGTGTCTGTGTGTGTGTGTGTGTGTGTGTGTGGGTGTGCACACGCGTCTCAATTATTTGTTTGTCCTGGGATTTGCAGCACACGGAGGACTTCAGCTGCCGTTGCAAGTGCGTGTGGCAGAAGTGGGCGGCGGCACACGCCTCTTTTTATTGTGCCAAGTGGCAGCAGCAACAAAACGACAGCAACAACAACTGGCATTAACATTTAAAACAATTTTCAATGCTGTAAAAATAACTGTAAAAATTTTCAGTGCCACAAACAAAGCGACAAAAGGCGCAAACAACAGCATTTCCCCTCTCTCTCTCTCTCTCTCTCTCCTTCTGTGTGTGTGTGTGACACTTCAACACGCCTGCATACTTAATACAAACAGCAACATTTGCTCAACAGCCACGCCCCCTAGCTGCCCCTACCCTCGCCCATTGTGCCTCGCCTCGCCTCGCCTCGACTAGCTTTGAACTAAAGCCACAGAAAACAGTTTTTCTTATCGCTCAAATGTCATCGGCTGTCGACAATTTTTGGGCTTTGCCACTTTGCCACTTGCCACAAATTTTCGGCGACCCCTGCCTGCCCCGCTCCGCCCCGCCGCTCGCTCAAGCCCGCCCCATAGACGCTCATTTGTGTAATCCGGGCCATGCCCAAAGGGCGGCACTTGCGGCATTTAGTTTGTAATTTAGCGCATTTAGTGCCACATTTTCAGGGAGTAAAAGAGAGCGAGACAGAGATAGTGAGCGGAGCAGGGGGCAGGCGGAGAATGTGTGTTGTTAACAGAATTCTAAGTGTTGCTCCTTCGACTCCAAATGTCGCAATTGCAGCTTTGGCTCCGATTCTACAAATGTTCTTTTCCTCTGCTTCGAGCACATGAATATGCTATGTGAAGTGCTTAGCAGCTAATTTGTATGCATGTGAGGGTGTGCACGAGAGAGAGGGAGAGGGAGAGGGAGAGAAAGGGAGAGGGAGAGGGAGAAAGGGTGATTGTATTTGAGCGTGTGCTGAAAGTTTTGCTAAGCTTTAATTGCTTTTTGATTTGGTTCTTGGGCTTAAAGCATTGCCAGTTTGCTTTGCTGTGTTAACTCTTTGCAGTATTTGGTTAACGTTTTCATGATATCTGGCAGATTGAGCATATAGCATAGATTTTCTTACCATCTCATAATATCTTATATATATACTTTCTATTATATATATTACTGATGAATAAATGACTTTGCGCTCACTTTTATTATTATTACTGTCGACTTTATCTCTTTACCTCTTTCTCGCTTTCACTCCATGTCCATCATATGTTATGTATATGTTCTATGTTATATGTTATTATATAGTATTCTATTAAGTGTGGTGCCCTCTAACTCGTTCTAGAGGGAAGGATAGAGTTAATAAATTCTCTCCGTCTCTCCCTTTGCATCTTCATGGTCTGTTCAGCTCTGTCAATTCCTCTTTGTAATCTGTCCTATATCATATTTTACTCTCTCTCACTCACTGACTGTCGCTCTCCTCTCTCTTTCTGTCTCTAATTTGCTGTCGATGTTTCTCTATGTCTCCATCTCTTTCTCTAGCTCTACGTCCCAATCTCTTTCCCTATTTTTAACACTTTCTGCTCCATTTTCTGTCACTATCTCTCTCTCTTTTTCTCTCTCTGCATTCACCTTCTTCCTTCTCTCCATGATTCTTGATCTGCTATGAGCAAGCACTTTTTATTGTCTATATCGATTCGTCTTAACTTTGCCTTGCACCCACCTTCTTTCACTTTCTCTCTCTCCCTCTCAGTATCTCTCACTCTCTGTCTCTCTCTCTTTCTCTTTAACTCCATCTCTTTTAACTCAGCTCAACAATTAAATCATTTCAGCCCATGCCCAATGCCAATTCGCTTTTAACGCATTAGCATAAATAATTGATATCAGCTAATGCAATGGCCATTTGGCCAAGGCCCAACCGCCGATATGAACCACTGGGCACCGCCAAGAACCACCTGCATGTATCCGGATAGGAAACGAAAACTCAGGCTGAAATATGCCTAATAGTTATTATAATGCTGGGGATAAGGCAAGTCTTAAAGGTCTTGCGGCCACATAAATTTCTCATCAAAATCAATAGGAAATCTGCTGGGAGTGGGGTCGGCTGGCATGCCACAGGATGCGGCCAGGATGTGCGTGTGTGTGGCTGTCCAGGAACTGCGTTGACATTGGCCAGTGTTAAAGTTAATAAATTGTGGCCAGGATTTATGGGCGCGGCCGTTGAACTGTGCCGGCAATGACATTTCAATGTTTACATAAGCCGTGTGTTTATTTCCCTTTCCTCCCTCCCACTCAACCCCCACCGGCTCGCCTGTCTCTCCACGGAATAGGCAAGGGGTAGCTGCGTGGCAGTTTGCATTAATTTCTATTTATGTGCGTGAGCGTGTGCGTGTGTCTAGGCATGACATTGCAAATGGTGACATATGCATTGGCTAAAAACCTTTTCCATTTGCCACCCACACCTATTGCTCCTGCCCCACTTTGGGCTCGTTTTGATGAAATCAGCCAAGCGAAAAATTCAATCAAGCTTCGACTAAGCATACTGAGCGAAAAGACAACGCGCAAAGTTCGACTTTGTCTTCGCAAAGTTTCACTTCGATTTGATTTTCTGATTTTGTGGCAGATACTTTTTTGTTTGGGCCGCTCACATTTCAGCAACTTTTCTATAACAACTTTGCTCTTATAACTTTTCTGCACAACACTTACTTATTTTTCTCTCAGTGCATATATTTGGCTATGGCAATTTCAATGAATATTTACTTATGTTTTATATTTACTTATTTATTAAATATTTTGTGACTCAGAAACTATTTTCTGGTAAAATCTTTCAGTGTATCGGACAGACTTGTATTTTTAGCAGTGTATTCTCAAGCTAGTGCTGCTTTGATAGCTGATAAAATTTATTTGTAATGAAACTTACAAAATAATTCAGCTTTTGGTTTTGAATATTCACATTTCTTCTTTGGCTTAATTTCTCTCAGTGTATTTAATTAAAGTTAAAAGCAACACGCATCGCTACTTACTTACTTTTCTACAAGTTGCCTGTATCATTTTTCTCTGTGTATCTTTTAGCCTTAACTCACTTTTATGTCGGACTCTCCGGGCTTTATATAACTTACTTATTTCTTTTTTCTTATTATTTATTTATTAAGATGAACCGTTTATAGACTGTCTTCAAGCTTAATTTCGCTCAGTGTAGTCCATCGTTTTAAACAATTATTAACTCTCAATACCTCAAACAGACTGCCTTGATGATATGTAATTAATATTGCTCATCCTTTGGCTTAATCAATATTATTTTCTCTCAGTGCAACAGCTTGATTTATATGCATATTTCGCTGAGTGTATGAGCTTGCTTTTATATATATAAGAACTAACTATCTTAGTATTATTTAATTATTAGCAAACCTTCTCATTCCACTTAAATTTCGCTCAGTGTAGCTGCTTGCTTTACAATAGCTTTTAGGTCCAACTACCCCAACTCTTAATATCCTTTTACTATACATGCTTAAGGACCCCACACACACACACGCACACACCTTCAATTGCCATGTCATGGCCTCTGCCACGCCCACTTCTCTTGTGGTATCAATTAAACTTTAATAGACTTAAGCACTAAATTAATTAATAAACATATACAGATTAAAATTTATGCTGTCTGGCTCGAAGCAGACGCTGACTTTGACTCTGAGTCTGACTCTGACTCTGACTCAGACTCTGACTCTGACTTTGATGCTGGTGGCGTCTCCTTTTCTGGTTGGCTTTTGCTCAGTTGCTCCACTGTTAGTTCGGCGTTTCGTCGATGTCGCAGTATGGCACGTCCTCTATTGACCACAATGCATGTGACTCCGCCAGCGCCGCCAATCGGGTCCTCGTAGTCCGAGTAGTAGTAGTCTGTGGCCTGGCGACCCAAGCTCGAATCGTCGTCATCGTCTTCATAGTCGTACAGATCGTGATCATCAGTCGCATCCGCGTACTCTTCGTTGGCGCGTGCCTTCAGCTGATCGCCATTCAAGCTGCGACTTTGGAAGCAAACTTCCTGCGTGGAGCCGCCTCCTCCGCTGCTGGTGTCGGTTGTTGTCGTGTTCAGCGAGTTGATCAGGTTGTTGACATAGGCCGCAGTCTCATTGGAGGTGATCAGGTCAAAGATCAGGGCGCCGCCCAAACCATTTGACAGGCCCAGCGCATAGCCGCCCAGTCCTGCTACGGCTGAGGGAGTGACACGGCCCATGGGCGCCAGCTGAGCTTCATCGACGCCCGCCTCGACGAGCGCGGAGCGCAGCTCCTGCGGCGACAAAGAACGAAGCGCAAGGCGACCACCTAAAAAGAGATTGCAATGCAGAATGGAATGGAATGGAAGCTAGACGGAAGCAAAGTCAGGCTGGGGCTGAATGAATTTTTGGCTAATCCAGTTGCAAATCATGTTGAAAGCCAAGTTAAGGCATTTTAGAATTACTCATAGTCGCACCAAGGCACAAGCTTAATTCGCTCAAATTTTAAGTCAGCTTAAGAATTAAGTCCAAGACTAAGTGAAGATCTGTGTTAAGCACAATCTTTTATAATCTCTTTGAATCTGAGCAAATTTTAGATTGCACTTAAATAATTTTCAGCTTAGAGGTCAGGTGAAAAGTCAATTAAAGTCCACAATAAAATTCACCTTTTAAGCCAGTTCAAAGGGCAGGTAAAAAGCAATCTAGAGTCCACTCACCTGCCACTGTTGTCAGCAGACAGCTTAGTCCAATCAGGGCAATGGCCCACAGAGCATTTGGCGTTTTCATGGCTATCGACTAATGCCTTCTTGACCACAAACCGGGCGCGTCTTAACTGAAACCAATCGCCAGCTGGCGCTCAACTTTTATGTCGAAGAACTCAAAAGAAAGTTGACATCAGCCAACGCCAGCGCGTTTTGCATATGCAAAACACAAAAAACAAAGTCTAATACTCGCTTGACCCTTGACTGAGGCATGAATGGAAATAGGCCAACGACCAATAGAAACCGGTTTTAGCCAATCAATAAATTTTGGCTGCGTGCCTGCTAGACACAACAATTTGTTTAGATTATCAATATTGATAAATAGATGGAAATATACGAATCTGATTTGTATCTGTATCTGTATCTGTATCTGTATCTGTATCTGTATCTGTATCTGTATCTGTATCTGTATCTGTATCTGTATCTGTATCTGTATCTGTATCTGTATCTGTATCTGTATCTGTATCTGTATCTGTATCTGTATCTGTATCTGTATCTGTATCTGTATCTGTATCTGTATCTGTATCTGTATCTGTATCTGTATCTGTATCTGTATCTGTATCTGTATCTGTATCTGTATCTGTATCTGTATCTGTATCTGTATCTGTATCTGTATCTGTATCTGTATCTGTATCTGTATCTGTATCTGTATCTGTATCTGTATCTGTATCTGTATCTGTATCTGTATCAAGTCAGAATCATAACTCGTTTCACTTTCGCTCCCAGCTACTGTTATAACATCTTGCCCAACAACTCTCCTAAGAATGCAACAAAAATATAATTTACAATAATTTAGCGCTGCCTTAGCAACTCGTGAATCTGCGCAGCAGCTTTTGCCCATAAATTGATTACAAAATATTGGCTCCCGAGTTTTCAGCAACATTTCACATTTATCTATTGAAGCTGTTCATTAGTCGCTGCTTCTTAGCACTGAAAACAATATTTTATAGTCAAGTCAATTTGATTCGCAGAAGTCATTTGCAAGTCTATTAATCATAATGAGGAGCTCTGCTCTTATGTTTACAATTAACGAAATTCCCCCTCTCGACGGCATTTCTTATAACTTTCACGTTTGGGTCAACTTCAAAGCTCAGAAGTTCCCAGCGAACAACTTTTATATTGAAATGATTCGAGTTCGAATACAGATTTCTGGCACTTTGCATGGCTATAACTTGGATGATCTGAGATCAATCAACAAATGATATATTATTTTTGACTTGTCTGAATCTGGACTTTCAATTGACATTGAAACTCTTAAGGTTTGCTTGGTTCAACTTGACATTCAAATGCTTTAAGTCTAAATTTGTTAATTTATTTTTAAGAAATTTTATACAATTATTCTTCTTGGAACAGCTTACTCGACAGCCGTGCTTTCTTGACCCTCTTTCAGCTCACACTTGAATAATCATAAGCAGAAGAGGATTGCAACATGAAATTGGATCGATGTTGCAATCAGTGTCTTCCACTTGCTACATACGGGAAATATTTGGCTATCATTGAAGAGCTCTCAAATGTGAAATGGCAAAGAGACCGCAGTCTACTTTCGTTTATTTGCTTGGCAAACAAAAATATTAATATTCCTGATTGCAGAGCGAAACCCGAAACCATGTCAAAAGGTAACAAAGGTAAGGCGAATGCCTGCCTTCTGCTCAACCCTTATTTTCCGTTAGTCATACGAGCGAGTTTTTTTGCTTGTTAGCAGTTTTTATTCTTATTTTTGGCTACTTAAAAGCTAACATTTGGCTTTGTTGCAGCTGCAAGTACTTATTAAGCCATAAGCCGCTTTCCAGAGACAGACAGACAGGCAGCCAGCACTAACTGCAGTTCTCAGTGTTTTTTTAACTGGGTCTAGAGCCAGGCAGCGTATTCTATATAGATGCCATTGTTGGGCGGCAGCCACGCCCACAAGTGGCCCCCTTTTTTACAAGTTTCCGAATAGCTGTTAACTGCTGCTGTAAAAACTTTTGCCCGGCAGCCTTGCGAGGCGTTCGGCTTTTGTTACGCAAAACTGCTTTAAGCCAATGTTTTGCGTCTCTGCCAATTGTGCAAGGCATTTCAAACTTTCGAAAACAAACCTCCTCCCGCAAGCGTGAGCGTGGGCGTGGGCGTGGCAAGTGCTGGGCGTACGCAAAGTGTCAGCGCGAGATGCGTCTGTTGTGTCGCTTTCGGTTGTTAAAATAACAGCTAATAAAAGCGCTGCAGCTGAAGTGCAAGCGACTCGAAAGATACTCTGTCTGGTGACTCTCAGCCTACATGCTATAACAAGGCAGTGATTGTCAAACTGTGCGTAATCTGGATTGCAGTGAGTTGGGAATAATTCACTTTAGCTTGCGGTTTAAGGTGCTCAACTGTCCGCGTTGCTCTTGACTACTATTGCTAAGCAGTGACTGTCAAACTGTGAGAATATAATATACATACCTCAGCTTACGTCTCAAGAATTCACTTCAGGAATGTGAGCTGCGTGAGACGTGCGAAAGTTTTTCTTAATCTCTCATCCACTGGCTCTTTCTTCAAGATAAAGATGTCTCAGATATGTGAGCAGTGGCTCTCAAGCTGTGGCTTGGAATAGAAGGAAGGTAATAACCTTTCTCACATATCTCAGACATCAAAATCTTAATTTAATTTAATTTAATTAAATTTATTTAAGATATAGAGAAGTGTGTAGTGGACTTCAACTAAACTCTGGCTTGGTCCATCCGATCATCAGTTAATCATAAGTCAAGTTGTCTACTCGCCAGTATCCTATATACCCCTCTCACACTTTCCATTTATAGAGTGTTAGAAGTTAAGTGCAACAGCTGCCATGCAACAAGTGAAACGCATCGAATGCCAAGTTGTCTGCGCACTTCAGCAATGCCAATGCTACATAAATAGCAACAACAAGAGCAGAGGCAGCAACAGCAGCAGCTACATTAGCAACATGTTTGCAGTTTTGTTGCCTCTCGCATGTTGCAGGCGACACACGCACACGGCCACGCCCCCTCTCAGCCCGATTGTTTGTGATTTACGCACACTGACAGCAAAGTCGAGCGCACAACATCATTTGCAGCTCATTAATCAGGCCTGTGTGGCTGCTGTTGCTGCTGCTGTTGCTGCTGCTGCTGTTCGCTGCGGGGCCTACGAAGCAGTCGACCTGAAATTGTGGCAGGCTTCTTTCTGGCTGCCACATCGTGCGGCATAATCGGCTTTTCTTCATATTTAACGAGAAAATAAACACATATATACATCACATATATTTATATATTTATACAGAAATTCTGCAAATATTTGCGTAGCGTAACAAAAAGTGATTGAGACGCCTTCTGCAGAGCCTGCTCTGATATGCAGCCGATGACTGCCTGAGCATGGGAAAGGGGTAGAGTCAATGAGGCATTTGCCCGATATAATACCCCAACAACTTACATACGCACAACATACATGCATAATAAAAGATGTACTTTCTGTAAATACTCCTATTAACATGTGGTATTATGACCCAAGCCAAATCACTGTCGCAGTCTGCGTCAATCATATGAATAATAAAACTTGACTTATTTTCCTAGAATAAAAAAAGCTGATGCTAAAACCTATGGAAGATTAGTGTACGCATGAAGTAATTGAATATGCGCTACATTTGTAAAAGGAAACAATTTACCAAACAGAGTGCTCACAAAATGATTTGAATAAGATTTCAAACACGTGTCAAACATATTGAAGCCTTTGGGCATAAGAAAAATAGAGAATAAATAAAAGTTATATTCAAGACATGCAGAAACCATTTCTGAAACATGTCTTAATACAATATAGATTAAGATAAAGAAGATGAATCCGAATATCATATAGAGGGGCAAGGGATGACCTCACTTTTTTATCATAAAAATATATGTATAGAAAAATAATATCTCTTAAAATATCTCATGCAGAGTAGACTCTTTAAAAAGTCTGAATTCCATTTAGAAAAAAATTTGTGTTATTTCAGAAAACACATTTCCCACACTTTAAAGTAAGACAATCAGTTGCTTAGAGGCAGAGAGGCTTGATGACGTCTGCTTAAAGAGCACAACATATATTTGCTCTTACGTATATTTGTCTTAAGTCTCAAATAAAATTAATTAATACATTTCATTTGGAACAGAAAATTCGCATTCAACATGAGGAAGATATCTAAGGGCAACACAGCTCCAACCTCTGTGGTCTCTTTCATTTGTGCAAGCAACTCTTTTGCTCACGTCAAGCCAAAAGTTATGACACCTTTGCATACTCAGGTCTCTCTCTAGTTTTCGTTTTATATTCGCCTTAGCTTAGGCGCCATATCTGGCCATTGTCTTTTATATCTGTTCGCTGATTTAATAAACCATCTGGTTTTGCGTGCTGCTCTGCGCCAAAAGCACTTGTAAAAAGGACGCAGCAATATGCAACTGGAAGCAGATGAAGAAGAAGAAGAAGAATATTCATTTACCTTAAACATGACCTGTAGGCGTAAAGTGGCAAATGGGGTATATTGGAGTGGAGGCTGAAGGCAGCAAAGGACTATTTTTAGAGAGAAGCAAGAGCGATAGATAGATTGAAGCACAGCTCTGCAGATGGTTGTATAGATACATGAGAGGGCCTCTGCAGTAATGTGAGCTCTACATACTGAAAGTCTAAGCAAAGTAGTTCCATCCTAGCAACCTATACATCCAAAAATACTTTTGCTCTTCATTTCCGTATGAATGATTCTTAATGGTTGGAGCTGGCGTTTCTTCAGTGGAGTACAGGATATCTGCCGATTCGAACTTCCTCCCTCAAGCCACGTAACGCTGCTTGTTGCCGGTTTTATGTTGCATGCCTCAGCGGCTTTTATGCTGCAGCAGGCCAAGGGAGCTTGCAACACGGAGTCGCGGCCGGAAAAAGCGGCGTCCAACAACGGATGTGGGCATATTTCAGCAGGAGATAAAACAGACGGTAATGATGATGATGATAACACTTGCGAATGGGCGGGGCTACAAGGGCAACAGCAGCAACAGCGAAGGCAGCGACTGCAACAACAGCAACAGCAGCAACAAA